TCTTCCCTTCTCCTCTCCCGACCAATTTCTTCTTCCTTCTCTCTTTCCCGCCATCCCCTTCTCTTTCCCCCATCTCCAAAATCATGGCGGGCGGGACCGGGGACGTTCGGAAGCTCTTCATCTTCACGACTACCCAGAATTACTTCGGACTGATGTCGGAACCCGGGGACCAGGCACTGCCCCACAACTCTCTGGAAATCAACAACTTCTTGGACGACGGGAACCAGATGCTCCTCAGGGTGCAGCGATCCGACGCCGGGATCTCTTTTTCCAACACGGTACGGCTCTTGCACGGGCCTTCTCGTCCCCAGGCCCAGCCAGAGGGGTGTCCCGTCGTTCTGCAGCCTTGCGGGACCGAGCCTCGTCTGGAGCCCAACGCCGTCTCCCCTTCTGCGTTGGTCTTCGTTGCTTTTGGTCCTGTGCGTGTGGTTTCCGAGCTTGCATCTAAGTGGACGGAAGGAGATTCCCTCTCCACACACTTGAATAGAAGCAATTAAATCAAACATCAAACTACTGATTTATTACAACCGAACAAGATAGCGTTGACCTTGTCTAGATATTTTTTGCAGTCGCAGTAGGCTAGTGTATCTTTTTTGATTTATGCACTGATTTTAATATTACTTGAAAACTTTAGGAATTAAAATATTTATAAGATAATACGATACACTATCCAATATAAAATTTGAATTCTTTTTTTGGTGTACATTCGATATACTGATTTTTTTTTTTTTGCATGAATCCCTCCATTGGCAGGATTGCTTAAAAAATGATTGCGTTTGCAATCAAGATTCATATGTTAGTATATAAATCTCAAAGTAAAACACAGGAGGAAACTACCTGACAAATTAGAGGGGGCTCAGTAAGTGGAAGGAAGTTAACACATCATTGACATATTTTCCAATCTCTTCCTCATGTGTTCACCCTTATTTCTAGGTCTAGCAGAGTATTTGGCACTTAGCAAGCATTCAGTGCATTATTATTATTTTATTTAGTTTGTTAGTTAATTAACTTATTTGTTATTTTAATTTGACCAGAGAGTGACAGAGAGAGAGAGAGAGAGAGAGAGAGAGA